AAAAACTTCATCTTTCAAGCAATCAACCTTCTGTGCAAAGTACCATTATGGCAAACTCTAATGTCTAAGCTAGTGCTTTAAATGTCAACATAGATGCAAAATCATCAAACACATAGCAAGAGAGCTTATCAACTGGGTAATTAATTTTGAAATTAACTTTAGAGAGGAGAAATGTAGAACTAAAGTAATATTGGTGTAATAAAGTGAAAATAGGACGGCTCTTGTTCTGTGGCTTCTATAGCTTGTTTTTTGTATCCATTCATTGCCAAACTAGAGATCATTGTACTCCATGAAAGTGATAAAATCATATTTTATTGCCTATTATCTTGAACACCTATTAAGCTTTATCCAAACAAACTGAGAAATGTGATAGTGTCTATAATAACTAGTGGCTTCAAAAGAATGACATCACCACTTGAAGAATCTTGCCCCAAGGATTAAATATGGCTTATCTATACATGGCAATGCTAACAATACAAAGAAATTGGTTCTTCTCATTCATACTTTCAAGATTTTGCTTATTGCAACATCATAGATTATCTCAAGAACATAATAGCAAGAAAATTGCAAAAAACCTAAGATAGAATATGAGATGAAGAATCCTTCAACTAAAAGGTCTTGACTAACTCCAAAATTTAGATTCAACACATGCGATTACTTAGCACAGCACCAGAGGTTGTGAATTTTTAGAACTTAGTTATGACTAAATTTTTCCAAATTTATGCTCCTTTAAGATGCATATGTAAATAACACCTTAGCCCACTTATAACTAGCATCCAACTACATAGCCATTTGCAAATATATGGCTAAAACTGTGTAGAAACCTATCTTCTGGGAATGAAGACAGCACTTGAGTTTGATAGGAAACTCTCTGATCAACATCATAGATAGATTTAAATAACATGAATGTATATAAAACCAATCACATGCATATCTCAAAACATTATAAAAGATAAGTCCAAAAGAAGCTTAACGATAGTGAGCTAAGAATCTTAAAACACCCACGGCAACTCTCCAACTCTTTCTACAATCCTGGTAGCCTCATGACCAAGAATACATGGGAAGAGACTCCAAGTATTAGCATCTGAATGACATAAAGCAGTGTAAAGAATCTTGACTCAAACCTCACCAACTTATGGTAGGGCCACATGAACGTCTTCAATAGTCAATGGCTGGTTGGGTTCCCAGACCACTATAGCTTTAAAGGTAATGACTTGACTTGGCCCTTAGAACCATTCATGTGAGTGATAACAATGATCAAACCTATCAACATGTGCAAACTTATGCTAAAAAACTTCAATAATTCAATGCTCATAATGGAAAGCATCCTTGGATCTCCCCACGGCTGGATTAGTCAGAAAAGCTTAGAAAGGAGCCACTTGAACCACCTGTTCTTGCTCAAGAATCTCCACAATCCTCCTCCTGTTATTGCTACTTTTATCATCTCCACCGCACTAAATTCTTTAACATTTACCAAATCCTCCATTATTAAGCAATCAAAAGTGACGCACCCAAAATAGGACGCAATCATCAACTCTGTTGATGTCAACATTGTCCAAGCTCACATCATCCATGGCAACAAGTGGGCTATAGTTGCTGCTCATCTCTTCCCTAATGAACTCATCAAGGGCAGTAATGGCTATAACACATCAACATAATTGAGGAGATATCCCTACAGAGAAGCTCAACCTTTAAGAATTGATGGTGCCATCGATGAAAATCAACAATGAATGAAAATCAAAGATAGCAGATGATAATGATGATGACGTTGCTAGTTATGGAGACAAATAGATCTTTCATGGCTTGGGGTTTTCTACAAATGGAGATTGAGATGAATCTTTGAGGACATAAGTTAGGGCATTCGCTTCTACTTAATCGTTTAAGGAGGGTCAGATCTTTAATCTCTAGGGAATGGATCTTGGTTACCCATTTGGATATTACACTGTGAATAGGCATTTGAATCTTGTTTTTCTAGCCCAAATCTTGATTCTTCAACCATATCAAAATTCGCTTTACTGAGGCCCAAAACTAGCTTACTCATTATGCCATGTTGACTAATAAAACAATGATGAATATGATGAATTGATGATTAAACAATATGATGAACAATACAACTCTAACTTGGAGAAGAAAACTATGAATCCCAACATCTCTTTGAGATAAGGAAGACCTTTGTTAACCTCCTTTAGAGGTGGGATGCAACCTCCTACACAACTTAACAGTGTAGTGCCCTTTATATAGACTTTTTAGAGTCACTAATAAACCTAGTGATTAACTCTAATCACTTATAACATTCCTTTATAGTATTCTCATATTGGCAATATATGGCAAGGGAAATTGGGTGAATAGTGCTAGAAACGTTGGGGTGACGAGAACAACAAATCGAGTGGCTAGTCATGCTCAGAAGTTTTATATTCGCTGAAAGAAAATTGAAACCAAAGTGAAGAAAAGACAAAGCATTCTTGACTTCAATTTATTAGACATCAACTCTGAATTTTTGAGTCAACTCCGGAACCAAATTGCTCAGAACCACCTCATTTCTTTAGATCCTCCATTATCATCACTGCAGCATCAACACGGTCAGGTTCAGCCATGTTTAACACACCAATCTAACTCATCAGTGTATTATGATTTTCTAGTAACGCAGCATCAGTCACCAAGCCCTCAAATTTTTTTAAATCTTCAATCTCAACAACCTAATTACTTACTGGCTCATTTTGAACTTCCAGTGCTGCATCAGTCACCAACAATGAATAATCCATTAGGCATTTAAATTCTTTCAAGTCTTCAATTTCAACAATCTAATTACTCACCAATTTATTCTGATTTTCCAATGCTATATCAGCCACCGATAATAAATCACCAGCTAGTCCTTCATATGCCTTCCAGTCTTCAATCTTAGCAACCTATTTACTTACCAATTCACTTTGATCTTCCAATGCTGCATCAATTACCACTAATGAACTATCAATTAGATCCTCAAATTCCTTCAAGTCTTCAATCCCCACAACCTAATTACTCATTGTGATCTTTCAGTGGTACATCACTTACCATTAATGAATAATCAATTAAGCCCTCAAATTATTTGAAGTCTTAAATCTTAGCAACTTAATTACTCACAAGCTCCCTATAATTTTCCAGTAATGAATCAACCTCAATTGCAGAAGCCAGGCCAATGCATCAACTATATATCAGCCTAATCCACGAGTTTATTATGGTCTTTTCGGTCCACTAATCACAGGAAATGAATCAATGGTACCGCTATAAGCCACAAGTTGCTCATAATCTTCCAGCGCACCATCTATCATTGTTGATCAATCACAGTTCTCCACTGCAAAACTCACTGATCAATCCTTGATATCATTTTTATTATATACCTCCCTAATATGTTGTTAAACTTGTCTCACGTGTTGGAATTTCATTAGTACTAGCTACGAGTTTTGCCTATCATCATCATCATCATCATCACTATTTATACCAGTTCTATGGGTAGCAGCTATTAATTTGTTTCATTGTTTAGGTCAGCATATCAATTGTTTTCTTTTACTTGCGCTCGCGAGGCCATCCAAATAAAATTTACGTGGAATAGTAGTGGAGTGCTTCATTACTTTAAATGTAATGGGATATACAATTATTAGTTTCCATACTTTCTCTCAAATATCAATTTAATGTTTATATTTTAGGATAATAACATACATATATTTTAATAAATATTTCGTGATTTTATAAGTTTTGTTTTCTATATTTTATTATTAAACAATTTTTTAATAAAGTTTATGAGCTTATAATTCAAGTTTACGTTACAAGTTTATGCATGTGTTATAAGTTAATTTATATTCACCAATTTGACAGCTTTTGATATAGAGATGTTGGGGACTTGAATAGAAATGTGTATAATGATAAGATCATTTTCACTAAAAAAAAAAAGATGCAAATTAAGCAATATAAAAGGTATATTGATAATAAGAGTAAGATAACAAGAAAGAAGAAATGACGCTTGGTTTAACTAGTTAATGAAACTAAATCATTTTATTTTTAAATTTTAAATTCAAATCCTAGAACAAACAGTTATATTAAATAAATTTGCTAAAAGTATTTTTCAGGTTTCGTAAGATATGGACAATGATGGAATAGAAAAAAGAATAAAATAGAAGAAGAATTATTTATTTTGTTCATGTCTGATTGGAATTTACAATGCAGAACATGAAGAATTTATATGTGATATAGACGGAACGTTTGAGATTTTTTTTTTTAAAAAAAGATATTTACGCTGCTGAGCTTTCACACACACACACACACACACACAACCTTGAATCATCATCTGAACAGTTAATTTGATACTTTTAATATAATTAATAAGTTAATGATAACTTAAATGATTTCTATTTTTTTTCAATCCAATTATCCATCTTGCTGCATTAAAATTCACTTCTAGTTGCCTCCACTTTTAAACCAATTAAAAAATAATTACCTACGATAAACAAGTTAGTTATGATTTCACAAATAGTTATATTATGTCTAATGTCAGATACATATTGACAATATATCAGTTTTCACATTTGAAAGTCACTCCAGCTGTTGGCTCCAACGTGGGATAGCCTACCCGTAAATTTGTTGATAGTAATGGGTAGGGCTGTGATATTTTGAATTTTCAATTTTATATTATTTATTCGATTTTTTTTGTTTTATATATATATATATATATATAATTTCTTTAACTTTATTTATAAATTATTTTTACCAATTCCATCAATATTAATATAATAAAAATATAAAAAATAAAATCCTCAAAAAATAAATAAATTATATAATATTATTTTTTTATTTTTTTTATTTTTTTAAAATAATTTAAATATTTTATTTAAAATAAAATATTGTTATTAATTTAATAATTTATAAAATAATTTTTAAAAGATAATTAATAAAGTGGATCGAAAGAGTATCCTATTCACACGTAGAATTTTATTTTATATGATTTATGATTTTGTACTAGATAACAAATAATACACGATGCTTGGCAAGCACAGTGAAGCAAAAAATCGTTGATTTCTGCAGAGGGAAAACTGCGACTACGAGGCGGTGTGCTGCGTGAATTGCGTGAAGACTGCAGAGGCTGAAGCATGTATCATCCCACCAGAGGTGGCGTTCGCGGTGGTCGAGATCGTGAGTTATCAGTTTTCAATTTTTTGAAATTAACCTTACCCAGAATTGCCCTATTTCTGCCTGATCTCCACAACGCGTTGTGATTTTGATTTTCTTTTTAAATCTGGGATGTATCAATTGGGAATCTTTTCCCCAATAATTATTTTTTTTTGAATTAGAAACTAGCACATAGGGTAGTTTATTTTTGTTTCTCTGAATCTGTCAAATTGACAACTGCAATCTATCTCTTCTCTGTATCGTTAATTTCTCGTTGTTCTCGTTGCTGATGTTGTCATGGCCTGTGCAAAGTTTTTGTTGGTGGTAGACCTTTTAATAACCTTTGGATTTTACAAACTTCAGTTGAATTCGGGGTATCTGACTTGAAGAGAATCGCTTGGTTACAAATGCCAAACTGGACAAACGATTAGCGTACTTTAGTTCTTTGTTCTGAATTTTTACCCATTTAACTGACAGCTTTATTTGAAATGCTTTGGGTTTTCCTTTCACTCATCATTTAGAGGATTTATGGTCTATGTTGTAGGTCCGCTGGCTTCTGTCAGCTTGCAGCCAGCTTCAGCTTTGTATTTTCTTCTAGCTGTTTATTTTACACAACCTAACTTGTGCATGAATTATAACTTTCTTTCATGATGTTAACTGCTCCTTATCTTTTTGAAACAAACAGCTTAGTAATTAAGTTCGCCAGCCAGGAAAAGACTCCCGAGAATTCAAAATCCTAGTTACAAGCTTTCTTATGAGAGATGTAACTTCTAAATTCATGAAAATATATGTCAATCATGCCTTCACCTTTTTAAAGTTCTAGTTCTACATTGTGCTGGGGAACCTCTTCATCCTGTGGCATGAAAATTTGTCTATCTGCATACAAAATACTTCTAAAGATAGGTCTTGGGTACATTGCAAAGCAAGTATTGGGAACCTCTTCATCCTGTGGCATGAAACACCTTCAACTGACAGCGTCATTTTGGTGCCAAAGGTGCTAGCCTTATACCCAGCCCAAGGGGCCACTGCCAAAACGCAAGTGCCTTTTGCCGCCTGACTTAAGCCAGCACTTCTAATATTATGGGAGTGTTATAGAATTTAGATTGGAAAGAGAGAGAAAGAGAGGGGAAGTAGAGAAATGAAATAGAGAGATAAAGAGAGCAAATCCAAATAGGTAATTCTTATTGGAAATTGAAGTCTAAAATTAGGTGCTCTATTGCCTCTTAGTTATAAGTATTATTATTATATGAATATATGTCCTAATCTATCCAAATCCTACTAATATAATAATAATATAATTAAATATCAAATCCTATTTGAATCATATATCATATCTAAATCTATTTAAACCGTAATTAAATATTAATTATTTTCTTATTTATTATAATTAGATGACAATACCCTCCCCCAAAAGACCCTTGCCCTTAAGGGTCAAGTACACAGAAAATTGTATCAATTAGACCCCTAAAGCATCCTAATTAAATTGCCTTTGAACCAAGTAAAAAAAAAAAATCATTGGCGGCAAGGAAGTGGAGATATATGTTCTCAGCAGCAAAGTATAGGGTAACAATGATTGAATCTAGAGAACATGCATTAATGGAGAACTTAAAACAGATGGTAGTTTACAACCATTAACTACGAAAGAATCTTAGGACCCATACAACGTGAATTGTATGACGTCATTGTGCTCTATCATTTACTAAGTTTTTAGAGATATTGTTAATTAAGAGTTGTTTGTCAACAACTTCTATAAGCATTATCTTTGGCTTTCCTCCACTCCTTTTAACAAGGTTTAAATTATCCGTTTCACTTTCTTTACTGGTGCCTCCCACAGTTATATTTGTACATGTTCAAACCATTTCAAATGATTTCTACCATTTTTCCCTCAATAGGTACTACTCCAACTTTTTCTCGTATGTGCTCATATGGCATTTTATCTTTATGTGTATGCCCGCACATCCATCTCAACATTTTCATTTGTGCTATTCCAACTTTATGCTCTTGCTATCTTGTTGAAACCCAACATTCATTACCAAATAACATAATTAATCTTAAGTAATTTGATAAAATTTTCCTTTAAATTTATTTAATACCTTATGATCGCAAATAACTCCTTTAGCGTTTCTCTAATTAAACTATCCATCTTGCATCCTATGTATAATGTCCTTATCAATTTTTCCTTCATGTTAAATAATAGCTCCCAAATATCTGAACTTTTTCACTTGAGATATAATATGATCTCCCAATTTCACTTTCAAATTATTATTGACCTCTTATTAAAATTATAATGCAAATATTTTGTCTTACTTTTACTCAGGCAAAAACCTTCTGACTGCAATGCCCTCCTCCATGACTTAAATTTTCAATTAATCTCTTCTCTTATCTCCACAATAAGAACTATATTATCTGTGAAAAGCATGTAATTGGGGATTTCTCTTGAATATGTTTACTCAAAACATTTAGGGCCAGGTCAAACGAATAAAGACTCAAAGGTGATCTTTGATGTCATCCAATCCCTATAGGAAAGTGTTTTATTTGACCATCAGATGTTTTTATACTAATGGTTACCCCCTCATACATATCTTGTATGGTTCTAATATAGGCAACCCGTACTCCTTTTTTTTTCAAGACTTTGCAAAGTATTTTTCTTGATACACGATCATAAGTTTTTTTCAAATCAATGAAAACCATGTATGAATATTTACCTTTGTATCGATACTTTTCCATTAATTCCCTTAGTAGATAATCGTTTCTATAGTTGCCTTATCTGGCATGAAGTTAAACTGATTTTCAGAAATACCAGTCTCCATTCTCAACTTATGCTCAATCATTCTTTCCCACAATTTCGTTATATGACTTATAAGTTTAATCTCTTTGTAGTTAGAACAATTCTGAATATCCTTTTTATTTTTGTGAATAGGGACTAAAGTGCTTTTCTTTCAATTGTCAAGTATTTTATTGGATTGAAATATCGTGTTAAATAACTTAGTTAACTACCACATCCCTTCTTCACTTAAACATTTACATACTTCAATGAGATACAATCAGATACATTGGCTCTACCATTTGCCATTTTTTAAGAGTTTCATTTACCTTACTATCGCGTACCCTTTGATAGAATGACAAATTTTATTCTCCTTCACGAGTTACTAAAAGTTACTAGATGAACCAATTGAAGGAATTTGTGTTGACATAACCATCAACTACTTAGAGTTCTTGGCTCTTCTTGATAACATTGTGACAATTTACTTGGGTGCTGGTTGAAAAATACCCACTCTTTTCTTGAATGATAGAACCTTCTTGCAACATTGGATATATATCTTGAGTTAATGGTAATGAAGACCCTTATTCTTTCACTTTATTTACCTCCTTGATAGCCTCCCAATCCTCTTGCAAGGAAGCTACCTCCTTCAAGATTGGTAGTGTTTCACGCAATACAACACTTATTTCTTTTAACTGTCGAGCAATACTCTGAAGTTGCTTTATATCAAAACCCATCCTCTTTGGTCTAAGGAAGGATGGCTTTGATATCATTGTTATAGAATTTAGATTGGAGAGAAAGAGAGAGAAGGGGGGAATAGAGCAACGAAATAAAGAGGTGAAGAGAGCAAATCTGAGTATGTAATTCTCATTGGAAATTAAAGTCTAAACTTAGGTACTCTGTTACCTCTTATTTATAAGCATTATTATCATATGAATATATATCCTAATCTATCCAAATTCTACTAATATACTCCCTTCGTTAAAAAATGTAAGGCATTTTTAATTGAATATCATTTCTAGCACTTTTGAAAAAAAGGTAATGATTACATTTTAAAAGACTAAAAATGCCTGATATTTTTTAACATCCAGCACTTCAAAAAATGCCTTACATTTTTTAACGAAGGAAGTAGTAATATAATTAAATATCTAAATCTTATTTAAATCATTAGTCATATTTAAATCTATTTAAACTCTAATTAAGTATTGATTTTTTTCTTATTTATTATGATTCGATAACAGTGAGGCACTAGGTCTCTGTGGTGTCTTGCCTTAGCATGATGGCTTGTAATAACATTGAACAGATCATACTCTTATATGGAAGAAACAACTCTCAAAAGAGGAATGCAGCAGCATGCTTCTAACTCATGAGTTACTAGTTTACTAACATTACGAAATTGGTTTCTTACCCCTTAAATTAAATGTATGATGATTGGAACATTTGAGGAAAGGGAGAGGGCTTTGGGGAAGGGAGAAAGAAAGGAAGGGAGATTTAGGGAGAGAAAGGAGGGAGGAAGGTTGGAGTAACTCAATGAATTTATTCCTGAGTGAAAGAAAGTAACCCTCAAAGTTTTTTGCTTTAATGATCTTATTGAACTACATGAATTCAAAGCCCAAACCTGTATATATTTATGTAAATCCATTTATTTTGGCATTTTGAATCTGATACGATCATAAGAACCAAATGCTTGGGGAAGAATTTAGGGAAAGAGAAGAGAAATAATATTATTACAGGAAGAAGTGCGAGAATGTTAAACACTTATAACTCTAATAAACCAAAAGAAAAGGTTGAGCCTGACAAGAATCTTACTCTTCCAATTCTAATAGCCAAGGAGGATCTCTAAAGTGCAAATCAGATGCATAAATCTAAGCTTCACATATACATTCTCTATTGATAATAAGTGATAACATGAAATAATAATAGCAAAACAATTAGCAATGGTAAAATAAATAATCACAATACTAACAAAGGGGCACATTGGTGCTTTTAACATGAAATGATGTCTATCTCCTCACTGTCCCCATTCTTCCCATTCTGTATTAGCCGTTCAGGCTCCATGTTCTGCCCACAACTTTCCTCCCCTGTTTGTCACTAATGGACTACAGTGGTACTTTATCATAATGTGTCTTTGATGATCGACCTTCTGATCAGATCAATTTATTGATTTTTTATGCTTTTCTTGTGATGTACAGAGTTCAGTTGGGATGATGTTAAAGTTGATAAACATAGGGAGAACTATCTTGGTCACAGCATCAAGGCTCCTGTTGGCCGATGGCAGAAAGGTAATATTGATAATTCTTTCAAGTTTACGATTTCATTAAGAATGCTGTGTATCAATATCTCAATATATATATGTATATATATGCATGTTCTTGGATACTAGTGATTGCTTAGTCTTGAGAGTAAACATGAATGAAAAGATATTAGTGTTGTTGCCTTAAGATGGCATATGGTGGTTGAGGATTTGTGTCATGCGGTTTATTCTTTTACAATTCCAATTGGCGGTTATAATTATATATACTTTGATTGCTGATATCAGGACCAGGAACTTCAACTTTTATGAAACAATTAAACTCTCTGGCTCCAAATACATTTGATACTGTGACTGGAAGAGCTTAATTTTCACTTTCTCTAGGTCATATTTTATCAAATAGAAATATCGGTCACAGTTGGAGAATGTCATTGGCTATGTTCTTCTGCTCCTACCTTTGACCCATGCAACGTAGTTTTTTTTTTTTAGTTTATATTTGTCCACTCTGTTGTTTGGTGGGTGCGGAAATATTTTCTGAAAACGTTTACTTAATGATTCTGTTGATCCCGTAAGAGAGAACTCTTAAGATAGTTCTGTAAAGATCTCCAAAACTCCCCTTATATATTTTGGTAATTTTGTTATTGCAGTTTTCTTTATAGTTTTGAATTGAGACCCAGTTGTTTAATATGAATTTTGTCTTGTTTAAGAGTAATCGGGTCAATCAAAATACTGGTTGGTCAGTCTTTGCATTATGTAATGTATTGGTATGAAATTTAAGAGTTGGTGATTGAAAAAACATTTAACAGTCAGTAAAATGATGCTTAAGCTGCACCTCGGTTTAGGTTGCCACATTATCAAGGAAGAAGAAACTTTGAAACGCAGTGCTTTCATGGCAGATGAGCAATATATAGATATGAACAAGGATTTGAAATTGCTTGAGAACTAGAGGGATGTGTTTGGAAGAGGACGAGTGGCAATTCAATTGGTATAGCAATTGTAATTCTGAAGCAAAGGAGTGGTGACTACTTGCATGAAGAATTGAGCTCCTGCTGCTATTTTTTGGATCATAAAATCCATCATTCTTGGCTTTAGATGAGTTTTAGAATTTAAAATGTTTCTATACTCTCTTTCCCAAGGCCTTTTTTTGGACCATAAAATCCATCATTTTGCTCTTTAATTGTCTTTTTTTTTTTTTTTGTCACGTAGCCCTTTTTACCATCTTTCTCTCTCTTGGATTCTAGTAGGAGTGAGTTGAAGATTCAAAAAGCCTATCTGAGATTTTCTTTTAGTTTGGCGTGGAAGAATTGAAAAGAGAAGAGATCACTTTTTTAATTACTTGGGAGTTCTTCTGAAAGGCTGTGGAGGGGTTCTGGGACTTGGAAATTTGGCATCCAAAAGCATTGTTGACTGTATTTTCTGAGCCAAAACAGAAGAATGATGCTTGATATTTTTATTCAGGGGCAACAACAAAATACATATATAACTGAGAAGGGATGCCTTTCTAGACCTCCCCACTACTTATAAAAACCCATTACCCATGAAAATATTTCTCAGGGATAGATAGCTTTGGAGATGCTGATCTCTTTGATAATGGGTGTTGGTATTTATTTTGGGTTTTGGGAGGATAATTGTGCAGGAAATCTTTCAGTCTATCTCCTGCTCATTTTGGAATTTTTGTTTCCACTGTGTCTATTCTCCTTAATAGAGCGTTTTGGCCATTGTGGGACTCTTGCATAAAGAGGGATCTTACGAATAGGGATTTTATAAACTAGAATTCCTTCTGCTGCTACTTCACCCTATGGACTCTTAGCTGTTATTCCACTTTGGAAAGGGAAGTTTGGACTCTTGGTTCTTCCCCCACATTTCTTCAAATGCTCGTTTCATGACCTTACTGTATAAGTAGTAGTGGCGAAACTATTGTTCTTGAGAAGTTTGTTCATAAATTTAAAGCTCTTTCAAAGGTTTTTGCTATCTCCTCGTAGGGTACTGCAATGCTGATGGATAAAAAGCTATTTTGAAGAGCATTGATCGAGTTGATTGTTTCTTTAGACAGCAGCAAGCAATAATGTTGCAAATTTAAAATTAAGCTGTCATTTCACTATTATTTGACCATTTAAGTTTCCATGGTTGGATGCCTTCAACATTCTACTGAATATAAGCATATGTTGATAGTTTTTTCTTTTTCTTTTTCTTTTTAAATGAAAGATATCTATAATTGATACAAAACAACAATAACAACAAGCCTTAAGCCACTATTAGATTTATGCACAAAAAAAAAAAAAGATTAAAAAAGAAATCAGTTCAATTTATTCGTTACCACATCCATTGAATAAAAGGAGGGGGCATGCTGATAGATTTTGTCACCTTTTTAATGAGCGTTTTAAATCTTTTCAGGTAAAGATCTGTTTTGGTATGCAAGGGACAAAAAGTCCATGAATGCGGAGATGGAGGCTGCGAAAGAAGAAATTAAAAGAATTAAGGAAGAGGAGGAGCAGGCAATGAGGGAGGCCCTTGGCTTAGCTCCTAAGCGTGCAAGCCGTCCTCAAGGTAACAAGCTTGATAAACATGAGTACTCAGAGCTGGTGAAGCGTGGGTCTACAGCTGAGGATGTGGGTGGAGGCCATGCTGACGCAGCAAGGGTTGATGGCCTTGGTTTTTCAAGGTAAATTAATTGGGCATGCAACCAAATATTACATTAACTTTTTTCTACTTCTTGGTGATCCTTTTGCTGATTTTACGGTACATCATAATGAATGATGGGATTAAACATGTGTGTATACCAGTTCTTCATTGGTATGTGTATTGATAGGCTTAACATATTTTGTAGAGTTAAGGGTATAAATATAGAGGTTTTCCAGCCCAAGTAGAATATAACATGCTGAGTTCAAAACATCTGTTCCTTTGTGGGACTGGTGACATCTGTATCATGCTCTGTGGCACACACCCTCCAAGCTGTAGTAGAGAAGATGGTCACCTAGGATAGGCGGACCTGGATATTTGTTATTTCATATGACATGCCCGCCTGAGATATTAAAGTTTTATGTCTTCAGAGTATATGAATAAAAATGCAAAGTTTATTGGCCCGGTTTGTGTTTGACATGCCACAGTATGGGAGTAGGCAATCGTGCTAGGTGGGTAAACTCGTAAATGATCAACCTCTAAGTTATGATGTTCCTGGGCAGAAGCCAATCCAGGGTCATGTTTCTGTAGCCGTGTTAGGTGTAAGAACGTTCTCTGCTCCAAGTGTTTACATTCTTTATTATCAAGATTAATCAATCTTATTTTTCTGTAAAATTATCCATTTGTTTAGATTTGTGGAGAATAAATTCTCTGTACAATGAGCTTGATCTAAACTTGGAGAGTTAGAGGTGGTGGGGTTGAAAGACACCCACTTATGTGCTATTGTCTCTTTTCATCACTTTGTTGGTGGAAGGAAAAAAAAAATCTCTTTATCACTGGGTTGTTTCTCTTTCGTAGATTGAGTCTACTTATATTTCATGTGAATCATTTATATCTATCTGCAAACATCCTTGTCGACCTTATTTGAATAACTTTCCCCCCATATTCCTACAGAGCACCCCGCCCTTGGAACGAATCTAGTTCTTCAATGTCCACAATCACAGAGAGTCTACCGAAAGTGGAAGAAGCATCGATGGCAGTTCAATCAGCGAGGAGGACTGAACAAGAAGAAGAATCAGAAGATGAAAAGAGCAGAAGAAAGAGAAAGAGGCACGAGGAGAGGAAGCAAGAGAGACGAGAAAGGCGTGACAAGAGGCATTCTCGTGATTCCGATGACAGGAAGATGCACAGGAAAGAGAAGGAGAGGAGGAGACATGATTCTGATTGATCAAATGTCTTCTTACTTGTGCACTTTTTCTCATCATTTTATGCCAAGTAACTTGCTGATTTTAATATTGTATTTTATCATATTTTTATACAATTCAATATTGTATTTTATATCGGCAACTTCTTCGCAGTTCCTAACTCTTTGTATCCGTATGCATGTAGTTATTACTTGTCACCTTATGCGTCTCAGGTTTGGAGTTTTGTTAGGACTAATATCCAAATTGGGAGAATTACAATTAGTTCTTAGATAAGAAAATTGACACAAAAAAAAAGGGGTTTTTTGCTTTGTTAAGTTATCATTGACATAGTATTTTTTTTTTTTTTCAAATTAAGAAGAGTAGAAACTAACGGTTTGGGATTACAAATAGAATTGAACATGTAATTGTACATTTAGAGGGAAAATTGTTTGGTTTAGTGGTGAAAGCTTATATAATCTCATTTGAACTCATGCAGGTGATTTTGAAGTTTATTTGCACTGGTTCGACTATTTTTTGAAAACCCTGATTAATTGCAATTTGGATTTTTGGCTGCGCATTGAGTAAACGTTACTAAAAGGTGCTTCTGCATTTAAAAGGGAAAAAAAATCACAATTGAGTTTTTATTGAAGGCTAAAATACATGAAATTTGAACTTTGGGGTAATTGAATATTACTCTCTATATTTTTAAATGTTTAAAATTAATTTTCTCTAATTTTTAATTTTATTTTTCATAGCCTTTATAGTTTATTAACTTTGTGACGTTGTTAATAGAATTTGTCATGTTGTATTAATAAAATACACATGGCAAATGATATAGAAAAAATATTTTTAGTAATTTTTTAACACTATTTAGGGGTGGAAATTGTAACTGTTATTTTTAATACACATGATGATGTTTTCATTTTTTTTTTTTGGTTAAGGGACTTTGTACTCATTCACTATTAATACAATTTAAGAGAAAAACTGTAGTTTATTATTCTTTATCAATTAAAAATATTTTATATTAAACAAATGAATAGAAAAATATCTAAAAGTTGATATTGATAAGAATTATATAAAGAAAATTTATACTTTGATATAAGAAAACTATGTACCATTGATAACCAAAAAAAAGAGAGAGAGGATAAAATGAATACAAAAGTAAATATTTACAATTAATACAAAATTAAATAATTAAAAAAATAATATAATTTCTATATAATTATTATTTACTTACATAGAATGCCACATAAACTTCTATGTGGCATTTTTTAATCTAACATAACAAACTCTATCATAACATAACATAGTAATTAACAATAGGAGCTTTTAAAAATAAAATTAAATGTTGGAAGTTACATATTAAAGTTAGGAGGTGATATGCAATTACTTTAAAATTCAGGAGATTTTATATATTTTAAAATTTATTAGATAATAATTATAGAAAATTAAATAACTTTATAAAAACCATACATTTTAAATAATTATATATCTAAAAGTGATTTTAATTGATACAATCTAAACAGAACCAACTTTCTCATAATCACCTTTTTGAAAAAAGTATTCAAACAAAAATTATGATTTATCAACATCACTTTTAATTAATTTCACTTTTTAAAATTATGATTATCTATAATATCACTTGTTCAACTTCAATTTAAATGGGCACTTAGCATTCAAGGAGAATTTCAATTAAGGATTTGAGAAAACACATAATTTTTACGGGTCTTCAAAAAATTTAAAACTTTAGTTCAATTCTCTAGAATTATTTTGAAAATAAATTAAATGTAAAAAAGATGAAAATACACTCCTTCCAAATATTTAAAAAAGATCACCAACCATTATTGGTGATCGAAGCCTTGCCCGCGATAACAGCCACTGGACCTCAGTTCCGGAGCTTTGGCCACTAGCTAGGACCACCGTTGACAATGGCTGGAGAATTAATTGTCCAAAGGTAGCTAGGTGTAGAACCCATGACCCTTTAGCTCGCCTAAAGGTTATAGATCACCAAACCATTGAAACCATTTAATCATATAATGCATAAAATTATATACTCACTCTGTTAAAAAATGTAAGACATTTTTAGTCTTTCAAAGTATAATCATTGCCTTTTTTTTCAAAAGTGCCCTTATTGATAATGATTTTATATTTATTATAGGGTATTTAATAGGGGTAAATATGAAAAGATAGGGTTAGTTGAAAGTAGATAATTACTTTATTGAGAGTGAAATTCAATTAAAAATGTCTTACATTTTTAACGGAGGGAGCATATAATAAACTTTATTTTCAAACTACTTGATTATTACGTTACTTGTTAATACCTTAACAGAACTTATTAATTACTTAACTTTTCTTGTTAATCCCATGATTCTCACAGTAGAACTACATTACTTATTATTCAAGTAACTATACTTGTTAATATCTTAACAAGACTTGTAAATTATTTAACTTTCCTTGTTAAGTTCGTAACTTCCACAACATAACTACATTACTTGTTAATCATGTAATTGTAATTATTAATACCTTAATAGGACTTATTAATTACTTAAATTTACTTGCCAACTCCATGACTCCTTCAACTAAACTACATTACTTGTTAATCATATAACTTTAATTGTTAATTATGCAACAATACTTGTTAATTGCACAGCTTAACTTATTAATACCATAACAAGACTTATTTAACCGTTGTTCCGAAAAAGCAACTAAATTACTTATTAATTGCTTAACTTTACTTGTTAATTTCTCAACAAGTAATTAACAAGTCCTGTTAAGATATTAATAAATATAATTACGCGATTAATAAGTAATATAGTTATGTTATAGGAGTCATGGACTTAACAGGAAAAGTTAAGTAATTGACGAATCCTATTAAGATATTAACAAGTATAGTTACACGATTAATAAGTAATGTAGTTCTGCTACGAGAGTCACGGGGCTAACAAAAAAAGTTAAGTAATCAACAAATCTTTTTAAGGTATTAATAAGTAAAGTTACGCAATTAACAAGTAACGTAATAATCAAATGGTATGAAAATAAGATTTATTTTATATACATACATATATATATATATATATATATAAAATTTTATGTATTATATGATTAAATGGGTTCAATGGCTTGGTGATCCATAATGTTTTAGTGCGCCAAGGGGTAATGGGTTCTATACCTACCTTAGCCACCTTTGAAGAATTAATTCTCTAGCCAACGTTGGCAGCCAGAGCTCCGATGATGGAGGTCTAATAGCTGTCATCACCAGCAAGGCTTCGGTCACCGACAGTAGTGCTCCAGCAATGGTGGTTGGTGATTTTTTTAAAAATATTTGAAAGGAGGGTATTTTTGTCTTTTCTGTATTTAATTTATTTTCAATTTAGTTCTAGATGAATGAACTGAAGTTTTAGATTTTTTGAGGACCAACAAGAAATTATGTGTCTTCTCAAATCCTTTATTAAAATTCTTCCTAGTATTTAATTGTGTTGTAAATGATTTATGCATAAGTAGATTTTATGCCTCATGCAATGCAAGAAAATATTAACCCTCATTTTTTATTCAAAGAGAAGAGAAGATTTTAATGGGTTTAATTTTTTAAAAAAAATAAACAAACATTATAAATTGTTATTTGATTGATGTAAAATAAAAAATTAAAAAATCAATCAAAAACTTTCTAGCCATAATTATCCTTTTTTTCTCTAAAATTGAAGTGATTAAAATTTAAAATCTCACCTGTCAACCATTTTCTTTGATCACACAAATCATAAATATTAATAGAAGTTAAATTATGAGTAAATATTAATTTGATAATTTTATAAAAAGTAATAATTTATAGAAAGTGTGAAATAAAATTGTATAGGTGGTTACAAATAAATAAATAATTATAATAATAAAAAATAACTATATAATTTTATTCTCGAGCATATTTGTGGCTAGAAAATAGAAATAAATAATAACTTGTTTTTATTATAAAATGGGTTAAAATATATTTTTACACTTGAACAATTATTCGAGAAGTACCCAATATCCTAAACTCTTTGTTATAAAATTTTTTTCCTAAAATAATTAAATATAGTATATTTGCCCTTGACATTACATATCCTAACTTGATTGTTAAAAATGCTGACTAGGGTTTAAGTTTGACAAGAAATACCACCTTTTATACTGAGTGGATTTGAGTTAAGATGAATTTTTGCCACGTTTTAATTATTGTATGGGCAAAATTGCTACAACACAGATAATTTAAGATATTGGATACTTCTTAAAAAATAGTTCAAGTGTAAAAATATACTTTAACTTGAATCTACTTAGCATGATAGGCGGCATTTTAATTTAAATCCCAATCAGCATTTTTAATTGTCGACATTAGGATATTTAACATTAAAGACAAACGTGTTGTGTTTTAATTACTTTAGAGTTTAATTTGTTATAATAATTAGTTTATGACATTAGGTATTCTTTGAAGAATAATTCAGGGGGAAATATTCACTCAACCCTTATAAAATGTGTTATCTCATATAAAATCAAATATAGATAACAATTTATTTTAATCTATGAATTGTTATACTCATGCAAATTAAACTTCTTAAATATATATCTTGTTTTAGATTTTTTTGATTTTTTTTTCTTTCGATCAGAGAATTTTTTTTTCTTTCAAATTGTATGAACATTTTATTTTGTATTTGCATTGGCTATCCATGCATGATAAGAATATAGATAACAATAGAAAGATAAAAAAAAAATAATTTTCACTGTAAGAGGTATTCATATTTAATATTTGATCGTGTCTCAAATAAAATTGTATCTAATAAAAAGATATCCTTGAACAATAAAAAAAAATATAGACAAAAATTTGTTTTATTCTTACACAGATTATTTTAAAATATAATATCATGTGCATATAAAAAATATAAACAACTTTTTATATGTGACACCCGCATGAATTAAAATGTAAACAACAAATTCTTGTTAAAAATTTTGTTACCTATAAATATAAATAACCACTTATTTTATTCAAGGATTTCTTATCCTCGTACATATAATAATGTAAATAGCAAGATATTTTTTTTATATGGTTATCTAATAAAGTCAAATCTAAATATTGTTCAACAAAATTTAAGGTAGCTTTCTTAAAAATGTTTTTTGCATTCACACAATTTTTTTATTATAAAATTTTTCACCTAATCAACAACTTTCTATTTTATGACTTGCCATTTTGTATATATTAAAAACATAAATAAC